CACAGTCCCCAGGTTGATGAGTGTGGAGCCTTTCTGTTCTGAGGAGGCTGTAATCTGATCCTAGGGGTCCTCCCATGGGACACCGGCTAAAACTCCCCCGGGCCCCAAGTCTTTTCGCTCTCTCTGCTCTCAGCTCTCCAGGGCTCTGCTCAGACTCCTGGGCCTCCACCTCCTGCCCCCCCCCAACCCTGGCATGGGCTGGGGTGGAAATAAAATCGACTCCCATGTTAAAAAACAAAGAGATTTGTCTCATCTGTTTCTCCTGCCCTTGGCTGTGGCTTCCTTGGTATGATCTAATCCCTGCAGCTGCACGCTGCTTACCAGTGGTGGAGAAATGCGGGCAACCAGTGAGGACAAGCCAACTGGCACCCCTGTGAGTCACCCACGGATTGAGCTCGGGACTCTTGCCAACTCTACTGACACATCTGTAGTTATGGGCCATAAAGCCCAAGTGGCTATTTATGGATGGTTATGGACGATTTGCATGCAGAGTGTCAGTGCCCTAAATCAGTAGTCATCTGTCCTGTGAAACCCCAGGTTTTTCAGCTTCTGTGAAGCTGTCTGTATTTTTCCTTACCCTTTATTCCTACGAGCATGGCAAGGAGTGAAAACTGCCAGGATGGCTTGGAGCTGCTACTGTCTTCTCTGTCACTTTCTGCTCGCCTGCCACCCCATCCCCCTTTTTTCCCTGAAGAAGGTCAAGGTTGGAAACCATCCAGAGCTCTCACGGGAGTGCTACCGCCCTGTAGCTGCCCTGTGTCCTCTTTCACCCCCATCTCTTTCCATATCCCCCATTTCCTGCTTAGAAAGGCCTTGGCCATGCCATTCCGGGTGTTCCTTCTCAAAATGGCGCGACCACTTGGTTTTGAGATCCCCTCTTTCCTGCCGCATCCATCTTTTCCAGTCCCCTGCCTGCCCTTCCCCCTCCCGCACCTTTTCCCTTCCTGCCGCGCGGCTGCAGCTGGCTCCATCCCTGACCTGTGGGGCTGTGAGAGGCAAGGCTGCCGAGCCCTGAGAGGGCCAGGCCCTGCTGTGCCCGCAGGAGACACGAGGCAGAGGCGGCGTGGCAAAATGGGCAGCCTTGGAAAGGGCAGAACCCTGCCATGTGTGGCAGGGGATTGGAAAAGATGGATGCGGCGGGAAAGAGGGGGCCATTGTTTTTTCCTCATCTTCTGTTAATGGGCCCATCAGTGCCTTTCCCCATGACTCAGAAACAACTCCCTCCAGGAGCCATTTCTGCTTAATGGGCAATCAAGGACCCACTGCAAGCCTCAGAATATCAGCCCATTGTGAGATGCTCCACCTAGGGGGGAGGAGCTAAGCATCCCCACCTGGATATAATCTGGGATTTGGGACAGAAAAAGGAGCCCCAACCCAGTGGTTCCCAGAGGACAAAAGCTACCAGATCTTTTCTATGGGATCACCACAAGACCATTTCATGTGAACTGCTACCACCACCCTAACTAGCAGGGTGTCAGGTTGTATTCTGACTCTGTCAGTGGTTTTCCTTTTGTATTATTGCATGTATTTTGGGATTTTTCCCTTTTCCTAATAAATTGTATTTCTGACTTGGAGTCTCTCACTGGTTTTGCTTTCAAACCAGAAGAGGGCTGCATTGCTTGGCACACACCCAGGCCACCTGCAGCACAGAGCTCTGGTGCCTAAAAAGATAAACCAGAGGAAAACAGCTGGAACAGATTTTGTTTTGACATTTCTTACCTGCTAACAGAAGTTGCCAAAATGAAAGTCACCAAGCAGTGCCTGATCCCTGCTGCCAGCTCAGGGTTAGAAAGGAGGCAAAACTTTGTTTCAGTGCTGGGTGCATAGGGCATCACTTCCCTAACACCTGCACACCCAGTAATCTCACCTACTAGTTTGTATCCATGGAACTAAGAGATATTCAATACTTTGCTGAAACTCACAGGCTAAACATTACCCCACATTTATTGACATATTTAAATCACTTCTCAGAATTTATACACATCAGTGTAGCAGTGTCCTGTAGGTCCCTGGTTGTTGTTGCCAAAGGTACAGGAGGAGACCCATGCACAAAATAACCTAAAATACAACTGGCCTTGCAAAAATACTGCAACTATTCCATTAGTTGCAGTAGCAAATAATACAAACAAACCCCTGGATTACCAAAAATGCGCTTAACAGGAGAAGGAGCTGGAGTGTGGTTCTCAGCGGCAGGGGCAGGTGGGCAGTGCACTTCTAGGACATTCCCTGGATCAAAACAGTGTGCATCTCATACTTCCCACCCCTCCGCCCCAGAAGCAGGCCTTCTATCTCCTGCTCAGGAGTGGAATTTTCCCCATTACAGCATCAGCTCACTCATGGCTGGCGTGTGAGATGAGGCCACCATGGCTCACCACACTCCATGACTCCCTGCCAACAAGGGCTCCGTTATGCATTGTTCCCCTTTCAAAGCTGAACTGCCCACCCACTGACCAATAAATTGTTTCTCTTACAATGGTCAAATTCGCCCCCTTTAAACAATACACTTTTCTTCATTGTCTTGCCAGCCTGCTCAAATACGGATCAAATATGGCAGCACCTCGGACATGACTCCGGGTCCTGACACAGTAGTTTGGGAAATATCCCATGCCTCAAATTCTCCTTTGCCGGACAAAAGCCTCCTAAAGAACACTTTCTTCCCTTTGAATGCATTCCAGCTACCTACTTAGCAGGACCACTGTGTTTATTCTCAAGGCTAAGATAGACGCTTACACACAGTAAACACTGCAATGGGGGAATACAGGGTTCAGCACTGCCTGTTAAAGCTAAAGCAATTCACAAGACTAAGCCCACTAAGTATTTGTTACACTTAACACTTCTCCTTTCTTTTCTGGGAATCAAACACAAGCATTTCATCAATACACCCTGCAAATGCTCTTGCTGAGTGAAGCCACATTGCTGCATCAATTAAGCCACTGGGACTCAGTTTCTTCATGGAGGGAAAGCCAATTCTTTATTCACATAACTAATTTTTATACCATTTTTACAGACCTTGTGTTCAACTCCAACTGGCTGGTAGTTTCCTTGCCACACGATTCATTGCTTAGGTGTTTTTGTGTGTAAGTGCTAAGACTCTCTCTTTTACCTAGGTGTTTACATTTTTCTTTTGTGGACTCTCATGGGACAGATTTCTTGTGTATTACAGATGCAAACAGTTTTCTTACCACAATAGCTTGTTGTGCTAACTGCAGTCATTCTTATGATTTTTCACATGGGAAGTTAGCTAGCTGCACATAGAAGACATAACAGGCCAGCTGGTAATTCAGCAGAGCAAGGCCTGATTTTATAAGGCCTTTCTTTTCTAATACCCCTACCTGTGTGCAACACATGGTGACTTTCTTTCAGAAATTAATCAAGAAAACAGAGATTGCCTACTGAAATTATTCTGCTTTCTTCCAAATCAGTTCACTACTCAAGCACAACCCTCAGGCACACGCCCGATTCCCTCTCTCCCAGCAGCTGAGAGCGGCATTGCACAGCGCTTGCTGTGTGCCAGAGAGCACAAAGCAGGCTGGCCTGGTGGCCCTGAATATTTCTGCAAAACACTCTGCATTTCACACCTTTGTTCTGGCTCAGTGCAGATCTCCAGGCCTGCAGGCACTTCCTGGCAGAGCTGTGGGAGGCACTGGCTCCTGCAGATGTGAGCTGCCAAACTGTCAGTGCCTCAGGCTGGCCACGGTTGCCCCGGCAGAAGTGCCGTGCCAACACCTCTCTCCCAGCAGCTGAGAGCGGCATTGCACAGCGCTTGCTGTGCGCCAGAGAGCACAAAGCAGGCTGGCCTGGTGGCCCTGAATATTTCTGCAAAACACTCTGCATTTCACACCTTTGCCCTGGCTCAGTGCAGAACTCCAGGCCTGCAGGCGCTTCCTGGCAGAGCTGTGGGAGGCACTGGCTCCTGCAGATGTGAGCTGCCAAGCTGTCAGTGCCTCAGGCTGGCCTCGGCTGCCCCGGCAGAAGTGCCGTGCCTGAAGGACGCTGCCCTGTGCTCCAGCCTGCCCGGCAGCCCGGCTCGCTCCCCGGTGCCCAGAGTGCTGCACACACTGCTGACCTTTGCCAGGAGTGACAGGGCAGCCGGCAGAAGAGTAGGAATCCTCAGCCAGGCCACCGGCCCTGGGCTGCCCTTGGCCTTTCTCTGCTCCTGGGCACGCTCCAGTCTGGGCTGTGCCCAGCACGGCTGCACTTCCCCTCGGGAGCAGCCAGCTGCCACCTGGGCTCTGAGAGCGGAGCATTCACCCGCTGCCAGCAAGAGGCACCCAGGGCCCGGCTGCTGCCTCTTGCAGCTCCAAGGGCCTCCTTCAGCCCAGGCTCAGGCTGCTCCGGGCTCTGCCAGGCCTCTGCTGGGGCTGCACCCCGGGCAAGGCCGGGCCCGCTCTCACCTCACACTCACTGGCAGCTCTGCCCCACAGGAGACCTTTCAGAGCACCCTCTCTGATCCTTCTGCTTTCTCACTTCAGCAAGGCTCTCCTTCTGCCAAAGCGATTGTGAGGAGGGATACAAATCCAAGTGGCAGGAACCCAAACGTTCTCGAGTCACAGCTGCAGGCCTGAATCTGCACAGGATGTCTTGGCTGCCCCACTCCTTTGCTTTTTCCTGCAAATGCCATTGCCCTTTCTTCCTCAACTAGAAATACCACAGCTGGGGAAAAACGGGCCAGTGGGTCATATTCCAAAGGCAGTGTGGTCTGGAGAGGATGATTGAAGAACAGCCTTCCCCACTTACAAACCATACAAAAGAATCCATAAGTGTGACTTAGCACCAATAAAAATCAACTGGTAATTCAGAAGGAAATGTTGACTTTTCTGAAGTGGTCAGAAGGAGGGGAATCTTCCAAATGTGTTGACGTTTGAGAAACTTTATTTCATTGTAATCCTAATCTATAATCCTATTCTTCAAAACGCTTCAAGTATCCTACTCTACAATCCTACTCTAAATTGGTTATGAAGATAACATCTGGGCATGATTGTTACATTCTCATCTCCTACTTCTTCTTCACTGAGATGATGAGCGGTGCCAGGATGGATGCTGGCTTGGCTGATGTTACAAATGGATGCTGTTCACAGGAAAAAAAAAAGAAAATCAACAAAAATCAATGAACCATGACTTTCCAAACTCAGTGCTTCACAGGATTCCTCTGACTCCTAGAAAGGTCCAGAAAGATGGACCATCTGCACCTCCATCTTTATGTGCAGGACCTTGCCATCACAGGCAGACCTGGCCCAGAATCCCACTCATCCATTTATTCAGGTGTCTCCATCTTGCTGGGATTTTTGCCCTGCCAGTGCTCTAGAAATGGTGCTTTCTGTCCTTGGAGTTTCTTCTTTTCAGGAAACTCCAAAGCCTCACATTGGTCGCTCTCTTTGAACAACAGGCACTGTGCTGATTTCCACAGGGAGACAGAGCAGTGTCTGCCTTTCCATGCCCTGCCCCTCCTCTGCTGGATGGCACCTTCCTTCCCAGCAGGGACAGCCCAGTGGCACTGGGTGCTGCAGTTCCCTCTCTGCCACACAAGCTGGCAGTAACCCTGGGGCAGTTCCTGTCTGCCTGAGCGTGCCAGGCAGCAGATGGGGCTGGGACAAGTCCCTCTCAGCTGTCCCTGTTTGTGTGCCAGAAACCTCTAAGGCTGCGGTGGGGGCACAAACCAGGGCCCCTCAGAGGCTCACAGTGAGCCCTCCACAGCCCCTGCTGCCCACAAGCAAATCTCTGACCACTCAGCCAGGCCTGGCTTCCTTGGGTTCCTGCACCACCTTTTCACGTCTCTGTACCCTGCATTGCTCTCCTTCAGTTCTTTTGCCATTAGATAAAATGGAGCACACCAAATTACAAAACAGGGCAACAGAAACAGTCAGAGGACAGTGCACCTCTCTTCTGAGGACCGGATGAGAGACCTGGAGTTATTCAGCCTGGAGGAGAACAGGCCCCAGGGAGATTTCATTGCTATGTTCCAGTATTTCAAAGGGGATTCTCAGGAAGTAGGGGACACCTTTTTTAACAGTTGCATTAGGAGGTGAGATAATATTTACAGTACATAATGGGGATTGAGTCAGATTAGGTTTAAGGAAGATCTTGTTTCCTTGGAGCATGATGCAACCCTGACACAGGTTGCCCTTAGAGCTGGCAGGTGCCCCATCCCTGGGCAGGGATGGGACAAACATTCCAGGGTAGGTGGGAAGGGGCTCTGAGCAACCTGATCTCTTTAAAGATGTCCCTGCTCATTGCAGGACACTTGCACCAGATGACCTTTACAGGGCCCTGCCAGCCCAGCCCAGTCTAGGATTCCTCACCATTTTCATTTGAAGAGCACCAAGAGTGGAGGTGAGCAGGAAGGGGGCTCATCTGATGCCTTGGACTTCAGGGGAGGTGAGGAGCCCATCCCTCACACCCTGTTTCACCTGCAGCCCCTTTGCATTTTACCTGCAGGAGCTCCTTGGCAGACCAGCGCCGTGCCTCCTCTGTCTGCAGGCAGCACCTCAGGAAGTGTAGCAGCCAAGCTGAGAGGACCCTGGGCTGCCGCAGCTGTGGGGTCCCTACTGTGGCTATCAGGTATTTAGCCTGGAGAAAAAAGGAAACACAAGGCTCCACCTGCTGCTTTCACATCTCTAACTACTCCCGCAGATCCCATTTTTTTATCCTCTGTTCTTCAGTGGCAGTTACTGCCCTGGCAGATACCCAGAGATGCCTTTGCTTTACCTACAAAATCCCCAAACTCTAATGCAGCCACAGCTTTTCCAACATCCTGCAGATCTTGCCATGATAGCTGATTTCATTGACTGACCTACTCAGTGGGAACTACATCAGCAAAAGCACGTTTGCTTCTCTGCGGGTTCACACCAGCTTGACAGGATTTTTGGTAGTGGGAGTTTGCTATACTAACTACTTCCAAGGATTAGTACATGAAAGGCATCTCTGCAGTGCTTGTTGGTCCCTTAAGCACAGCTGCCACAGAGCAAAATTCATCAAGCTTTTTGCTTTGTTCTTGAAAACAATGGGAATTGCAAGAAAAGAAAGGAAATCATTCATTTAATCCCCAGGTAAGGAAAATAACATCTACAATGTCATATTCCACACAGACACGTTAAGATGCCTGCACAAATGTATTGGGATGAAAATGCCTGCTTGGGCACACAGGGCCTGCAGGAAACACCTGCAGCTCTGTCTCTCAGCAGTCTGAAAATTTCAGCTTCCCATTATGCAGCAAAAGAAAATCTTTTCATGGTCAGAAGGAGAGGTGCCATCCCTATGGTCACCCTCTGCTCATTTGGATACTCAAATCAATGCATTAATGGTAGGTCCATCCCAGAAAGTGCCATGAAACAAATGGGAGGTTTTGGCAGGCTCTCCACATCACCAGGCCCTTGCGTGGTGACGTGGAGAACGTGGCTTGGGCTACGAGAGAAACATGGTCACTAAGTGTTTCAGCAGCACTGCACCAAAAGCTAAAAAGACTCTGTGGCCTCTACACCCTCCTGCCCAGGTTTCAGGCAACCTTCTAAATGAGAAGAAACTGCACAGGGGATGCAGTTCCCACAGATTTAGAAACTTTGTTGGGTTTGGGTTTCCTTCCTTCATTTCTGAAAGGATAACACCAGTTCTGAGATGCTTGTTTCCTGTTATTGGGGCCATCTCCACATCAAAACAATTGGAACCCCTTATTACCCAAAGGCAAGTATTTCCTGAGAATGGAGTTTGTTTGCATGTGGTAGAGCTTGAGTGCCCCCACTGATGCAACCAAAGCTACAGCAGATGCTGATGTGTTGCAGGGACATTTTTAGGAGGGGACCTTGGTGGAAGTAGTTCCAGCAGATGGCAATGGGATTTTGTCCCATGGCACGCAGGACATGGGACAGGTGAGAAAGACAGCGGGATCAGTGAGTATTTGCTCCTTACCGAGGCAGGACTTTGGTTCCAGTAAGGAGGTTCTCCATCTACCATTTCAATTCCCACAATTCCAAAAGACCATATGTCCACTTTGGGGCCATATGGTTTACACGTCACCACTTCAGGCGCCATCCACCAAGGAGTCCCGGCTAACAAGTGCTTTCTATTCTTCTCAGGGGTGAGCTGAGTAGAGAGGCCAAAATCAGCTGAGGAGAAAGCAAAATAACTGTTTTTATTTTAATTCTGAGCAATTAGGAAACCGAGCAAAAGAATTTCCCAGTAGAAGTTTGAGAATGTGCTGTTGAATCTCCTGGACAACTGTCCCTGCTCTGTTTTCTCAGGTCTTTAGCCAAGGAAATACGGCATTGGCGACTTAAAAAAAAAACCCACATTTGTTACGCTTCCCCCGGCAATGGCTTTTGTTCTTTGGGAGCTTTAGACTTGTAGCTCCCTCCCTCTGGAAGGGACACACACAGAGCAATGCCACTCTTGGCTGCTTGTTCCTTGTCATATCTCTGTACACGTTGCAGCCGTGTCATCAGCTCACAGCAGATGTCCCTGCACTGCCACCAGCACCATTTCTGGGGAGCTGGCAGTCACTCAAAGCAGCTCCACAGCCCACATCCCTGGAATGCTGCTCCTGGCCAAGAAGAAACTGACCCAGCTTGACAGAGCCGTCGGTTCTGAGAAGGATGTTATCACTCTTCACATCTCGGTGGATCACGTGGTTGGAGTGAAGAAAATCCAGTCCTTGCAGGCACTGAGAGAGGAAACAGAAACCGGAGAGCAAAACTGAGTGATGTGATTTCATCACACAAGAAGGGGAACAGCTCTAAAAGATTCCCTTTCCCCAGGGGAATGGGGAGTAATGGCAGAACACAGTGCCACTGAGAGGAAGAGCTTGCTGCTCCAACACTTGCAGAGCAGGATCTTTCTGAGGAAAGGCATGTCAGCTTTTGAAAGAGCAACAGCACCTGCTGTTGTAGACTGTCCCCTGCAAACCAGCTGGGATGACTGCTGCTGCAGGGCATGTGCTCAGAAGCAAACAGCGTTTTGGCTGCACTGCTATTCTTTTTAGCTGAGGACTTAGACAAACGAGTCTCTCTCTTTTCCTTTGCTGTTCCTTTCAAATCCTACCACCAGCACCTTTGCTTTTGCAAGCATGGAATGCAGTGAAGACAGGCAAAAGTTTAGGGAGGCAAGATGGAGAAGAGCAAATACAAGAGCCACAGCGAAAACACAACTGCAGGAGATAAGAGTACCAGAACTGAGTTCAGTGAGTGCCGGGGCACTGGCAGGCCTTTCACTTGAGATGCTTCTACTTGCCCATAGCATAGCAGCAACACAGAAACAAAGCTTGGCACAGGAAACCTCTCCTGTTCTGAGCTCGTTTCCCAGACAATCCTGCCCAACCCTCGGAAGCACAGATGGGATTGCTGACCTCCCGACTGATGACTGCCATCTCATCCTCTAACAGGTAGCTCTTTCTGATGACATCGCTCAGGGCGCCTCCATCCATCTACTCCAAAACCAGCCAGAGTTCCTCACCCAGAAGGTAGCTGAAAGAAGGAAACAAGGGCGTGGAAGTAAACACGCATGGCAGGAATAGACATTCCCTCTGGGCTGTGCATTGCTTGCAGTCTGTGCAGTCTCAAGGAGAAAGGCACAGCTGTGAAAAAGGAGATGTCTTAGATGGCCAGCAAGAGAAACGTGCAGTTTAGTAACAGCCCAGATAAAAACCTGTCAGGCATGGTGCTTCTGGAAATAAGAACCCAGTCTTCCTGGCATGCATAGCAATGGCAAAGAGGGGCAAGGATCTAAGGGAAATCCACTTTAGGATGGTTCATCAGCATTTAATAAACTTTAAAAAGTCAATCCCAAAAAACTGTGGAGGCAATGAACTTTGAGGGTATTGACTTAGTAAGATACAGCTGATCCAGGTTTTGAATTATTTTTGAATAATTTCCAAACTACCTGTGCCAGGGAAGACTCATGCAGACAAGATACACTCTCTTCTCGTCCATTGGAGATAAGAAGAGGAATATTAATAAATAATAATTAACAGCTCTACTTTCTGCCAGTGACCAAAGTGAGTTTTTAAGCTCTCATGTTTGCTGTAAGTAAACGCACATTCAGGGGATAAGACCATGACCTCTCACCTGTCTAAATAATTCACAACACTGGGACTCCTATGCCTCTTCATGATCATGATTTCATTAACGGTTAGTTGCTTCCTCCTCAGTCCTTGAAGATTTATTTTCTTTATGGCCACCTAAAATGACATTGAAAATCAGTAACTTGAGAAGTTGGTGGCACGAGACCACAACACACACGGAGTCAGTGATTTTGCAATGACACAGCCGAGCTGTGCCAAACTGCCTTGTGATTAGGCACTGCAGTAATGAGGAACTGACATTCCAACAGCCCATTTCTCTGCTCCCTTGGGGGGCAATTACAGGACACATGGGGCCACTGATGTTTTGCCTTGTCCACCTGGTAACAGTGGTGTGTCAACCATCAGCCACAAATCTCTGACCACACTCTCTGCTGCTTTGTATGGGATTCAGAAGAAGTAATCCAGGCCTTAATACTCTGTGGATACATCTTGGGCTATGGGCAGGGCTTAGGGCTTTTAGGAATGCCTGGCAGATCTCTCCCTACATGCAATTCCCAAGTGCAGCACTGCAGGTGGCTAAGACGCCTTACAAATTAAAATTCTAGCAGAACCAGTTGCAGTGCTGGAAAAGGGCAGGAAATCATGAGGAAAAGCAGCTCAGTTGCTGGAAAAAAAAAAAAAAAAAAAAAAAAAAAGAAAATGAACAGGGCTCCTCCTCCAAGCATGTAAAAAAGCAAGAAAAAACAGGGGGAAATGTCAGTTCCACAATTGGCTAAAGTATTTGGACACAGTGATGGGATGCTGAAGGTCTCTGACAAGGCTCCCATTGTCCAGGCTAAAGCTCCCTCAGCCCCTCCTCTCTGGGCTTGTGCTCCACAGCCTTGCCCAGCTCCCGTCTCCTTCTGTGCACACGCTCCAGCCCCTGCATGACTTTCTGCTGCACAGGGGCCCACAACTGCACACAGCACTGCAGCTGTGGCCGCAGCGCTGCCCAGCACAGGCCGACACTCCTGCCCCTCTGCTGCTGACACAGGCCACCATGCCCTTGGCCTTCTTGGCCACCTGCAAAGTTGCCCATCTGACTTCAAATCCAGCATCCACCATTTCAACCTGTTCTTCCTCTTTGGTGCAACACAAGACAGCAGTCAAGGACTCGCAGTTTCACCCCCACTCCAGGCTCCAAAGCACTTTCCAAAGCTGCACACTACACCAAAAGATGCATCCACAGAAACTTGCCCCTTCTGCTTTGGGCCTCACAAGAAGGCTTTGCAACCACGCACTTTGTTTCTTTGGCCACACGGGACATGAATGGCCCCCCAGAGCCCCATGGACCGCACAATCATCTCCTTATCGAAAGCCAAAAGACAGCTGGGCCAAGAGAAACTGTACAAGGGACGAACTCCTCAAGAAAACTGCAGACGAGTTCCACAAGCCAAACACACCTTTTCAAAAAGGGAAAACAAACAAAGAAAGCCCTGTGACCTCCAGCACTACCTCGTGGGCCCTTGGCCTTAGCAGTGCAGAAGCCAAGAGACAGAGCTTCACTGAGCCAAGCAGCCAGGTGCTCTCCCAGAGGCACCAGCTCTTTGGTGCCTCAACATGACAGGTCAAAGGCCAAGTTCTGCTGCCACTGCCTGGAGGAAATCCCTCGGTCCTGGCAGGACTCCAGCACGCAGCATCCTCAGCCAGCAACAGCAAGCGCTGGCTGCTCCCTGACTTGCAGCTCTGACTTGCACTAAAGACAGCACCACCCACAACTGGAACTTACGGCCTCAGAATTTTCAGGCTCTGGTGTGAGCACTGATGGAGGCTTGTGGTCATATCCCTCAATTTGCTCCTCTTTGCCTTCTTCTCCGGGAGCAGAGGGGGCCAGGGGAGAGACGGCTGTTTCTTCAGTCACCTGTGGCAAGAGAGAAGCATGAGGGACAGGCCGTTACCTATCACTGAGAACTTCATTTCTTTGCAGATCTACCACCACATCTTCTAAGGAGAAATCGTAACATTGCATAGCAACAGGAATCTGAGTCGCTCTGATTGAATTAAAATCAGCTAATTCAGCTGTACTGCGAATTGGTCTGATTTAAATACTCCTCCCTGCCTATTATCAGGTAGCAATGTTCTGGTTTTCAAACAGAGCTTTTAATTCTTTAATGCTCTCAAATGGAAAAGCAGGAATTAGCCAGTGATGCCTTTGTTTTTGCTGCTGCAGTCATCAGAAGGGAATTTTTTTTTTTTGACCTAGCCAGCTGGTCCTCTATACTCTACTGCTACCGGCTAAGCGCTCTGCTTGCTCTACAATTCATGAACACCAGGAACATGAAATGTTCCTTTCTCACTCACCTCCTGATCGGCACCTCTGAATACATGCTTCACATGGCCTGTAGTAGGGAAGGGAAAATGAACCAGATGCTGTTCAGAAAACTGCCTGTGCTGGTGAATCCTACAGAACAAGTCAACCCAAAAAGAGAATATTTTCCATTCACAACATCCCCCCAGGAGACGCATTTCATTCACACAGCCAGCAAGAGTTCAGGACCATATTGTTGGTTATGCCTACACTTTGGCCTGTTTAGCCAGTAAATGAATACAACCATGATCAAGAGAATGCAAATTGTTCTTTAACACTCACTGCTTCTGTTCTAGCAAACACCTAAAGCAGCTTTTTTATCCTCTCCTTCAGGTTCTTTTTTTTTTTTTTTAATCAGTTTCATGCACTAATTCTCATTAATTTC